GGTGAATGTAGTCTGACGCCATGACCAATATTTATCAATTAAGTTTCAGTGGGGGGTAGGGGGGGGTTTGGAAAAAAACTAAAGGAATTAAGTTTTTTATCCAACATCGATCTTTTGACGTCGTCGCTAAAGCTGTATTTGGTGTGCACAAAATAAAGAGCAAACAACATTGCCACAAGTTTTCCTATTGACTGAGAATTAACATGGACTGCACTTACATTGTGCTTTTACTTCAGTAAACTACAAGATATAAATAACAGCTCTGATGTTGCTCCTTGAAATGATATTAGTAACAAAATAAAATACAAAAAAATAAAACAAATATGTTGGCAATGTACACCTACCATCCATTCAGAAAACTGACAATAATTAACTATTAGAGCACATTTAACAAATTTATAACAAACATATGAACTTGAACCAATTTTGAACATATCAAGAATATCAATCATAGAATCAGCATCAAAGTTCAGGTTCAGGTTCAGTATATCAGCAAGCACATGTTTTATATAAAGACCTAAGATACATAGGAGTACCCCAAGAAATAAGGAAGTATATTCATTGTAATACTGCAACTACTACTAGTACATGCATTACTAGAATTTAACCATCAAGACATATCAGATGCACATTCTCAGTTCTGTGATACAATCTCACTATATGATCATTCTGAGATTACAAAATTAAGAGAAGTTTGAAAATTAAAATTAAAATATCACCTGCTAAAAGCCAATAATATGGCATTTTTGTTACTATGCTATTTTACTTGTGGCATATGTATTTCATGAATTGAATAAAATATTCATTGTCACATGCACTGTGTCCACATAGTGGAAACCACATTATATATGCATAGTTAGAGTAGATGGCAAAATATGAATTCAAAATAGTTGTTGTGTTTATTAGTCTGCACTTTCCTTCAGAAGAATGGGAAAAAAATAGCCAGATTTTGTGACTAATTGTTTCCAATTTTTTCTTTTGGCTCCCAACTTAGAGCTCATTTCTAGAAATATTGATGAAAATTGCAGAAAAATTTGGGCAAGAAAGTCCGGTGGTGAAAATGTTAAGGACATAACTCTGCAAAAT